TGAAACTTGGCTGAGTATGAGAGGTGAGTCTCAGGGCAGAAAGAAATCGCTTATTTGGAATTCAGAGTTTGATAACACTATGTAACACACTTTTTGTTGTTGTTGTTGTTGTTATTTTACTGACACAAAAACACAGTATGACACAGCAAGTATATACTGGATTTCCTGTTGTTGTTGTTGTTACTATTATTCTCCACAAGGAGTCTCAAAGCAGCTCACTCTAAAAGCACCTCAATACAATGTGCTATATGAAGTGATTTCTGGTACTCCATTGCAATTATTTATGACATAGGAAGCACTCCGTCTATCTAAGCAGAACCCACACAGATGGCCTTTGGTCCAATGTGCTCTGTGGCTCCTTGCTTTATCCTGCTGCTCTGGGGTGAAGGGCTTTCTCTTCTACATTACATCATGGTCACTTGTGGCAATACATCACCATGCCCATGGCTGTTCTTCCTTCATGTAGAAGCCCTTCTCTAACAGTGTCTCTTATGCATGGGTTGAATAGGAATTGATATCCCAACAGAATCCATGACCCCAATTACATACAAAATGCTTTTATCTTAAATAAGGATACACATAATATAAAATAATGTATGCCAATTTATTCAATTATGACACCAACTATGGAAAAATTCAACATGGGCCAAGTATCTGTATCATGCAGAATGTTTCAACAAAGTACATGGCTCAGTGAATGGCAATAATGAGTTAATGAGCTAATTTTACTTTAAAATTTCATCTTTGAAAACACTTAGGAGAGAACTAATTTACACCAGATTAAAAAAAAAGTTCTCAACGGCTCTGGGCTTGATTATTAAGAGTGGAAAACCTGTCCCAGCAACAATTTGGGCCCCAATGAGTACAATTCTTTGCCTTAATGCTTTGGTTACTAGGGAGATATAGCATTGGTGAAAAGTACCATAGTTGTATAACTCATCATAGGCTTTTAAATGCCCGAACTCAATCTGCCATTACTTCTTTTTTATATTTATTCCAATTTATGTATCTTACATTTCCCATTAAATGAATCCAGAAGGTAGATTTTATCCTCTTAAATTCTGCTAAGCCCCAGATGTCACTAGAATGCATAAAAAAATAGTTGGCCAAGAAGAGCAAAACAGACTGTGATTCAATCTTAAACCAGAAGTTGACAGTAAAATGTGCAAATGGGGCAACCTGGGGTACTCTTCAGTCACCTATGAAAGACAAGAAGACAGCTCTAGTGAACTATAACACATGAAGCATACACAGATAAAAAATAAGTAAATCTCAAAATCACTCAAAGGTGATAGAGTTGATTATTATGGATTGTGTGCTCGCAAGCAGTGACACATGTGAGTGAGATAGCTCAGATCATGTCTTTCAAGGCAATTTCATGAACACAGACTAGGGTATTGTACAATAGCCTATTGACACTTTTTCACTGCTTGGGTATTGTTAACTTCTGGTGCCAGGTCATGGCATAGGCAAATAAATGCAAGTTCTCTGGTGATTTAGATTGAGTATTAGAGTGCATCTACGCATTGCCTATATAATGCAGTTTGGCACCACTTTAACTGCCATGGTTTGATGAAGTTGTAGTTTTCTGGGATGCCAGCATTCTTTGGCAGTTAACTACAACTCCATGATTCCATAGTAATGAGCCATGGTAGTAAAAGTGGGGTCAACTTACATTCAGTCAGTCTCACTTAGCTAAGTCCTGTTGGTTTTAGTGAAAACTAAGACATAACCCAATACCACAGTTATGTGCTAGTTTACTCTGAAGGTAACTTCATTTTCTTTGGTACACTGCTTGCTCCTAGAAAAAAGTAAAAAGTATATCACTTAACTGATTTTAGTGGAAGAAAAGTGTACTTTGGCTGCTAATCTATACTTACCTGAGAGTAAATTTTATTTATTTCAATGGAAATCCATGTTAACAAGTTTTAGACTGCACTTCAGTTCTAGATCCAGTGGTTTGGTTTTCATTTAGTTTTAATACTGCTAATTAAGGAAATGATTATCTTTCCACAGCTTTTCCCACATAAATCGCACAGATTTATACCTATGTATTTATGGATGAGGTTATAATAAGTTGGAAAATAGTACACCTACCTTCTGTTTGATAGATGCTAGCCCCAATCCTGACATACTTAGCTTTAGTAGGAATTTATTAAATCTTAAATCACTGCTGTTTATTTACAGAGGCCTTTCTAAAATAATTATATGTTTCTCAGAACAGGATAATGTATTGTATGAGCACAAACAAGGTTATTTATCACCATTCTTATTGCCATTATTATCATCATCATCATCAATACTATTTTCATTGAGGATAGTCTCAAAGCCATGTTCTGGAAATTTACTTTAAAATTTCATGTATCGGAGAAGGAAACCTCTGGTTTAGTTAAGTTTTTGCATTGATTGTTGTATATAATATAGATTCCTCTAAGCAGTGCCCATCTGCTAAAGAACAAGTTCATTAGTGGAATAGATTCTCACATTTCCCTTCCTACCTTAAATGTGATGTACAAAATTGGGAAGCCTGCTGGAAGAAGTTTCATGAACTGTGAGAGCTTACATACAAAGCATTAAATATGGAATGTTTATTAGCTTGTACTGCTGGGCTATTTTGCATAGGCAGATTGCCACTACCACTACACTGTATGCTTGTAAGAGGCACCCAGGCTCGCAAATCAATGAACTTCCTTGCTCATGCTTGGACTCTCTCTTGCCCTCTACCTATCTATAGAGAAAACAGGACATCCTTTTCTTCTATTATCCCTCTGATTTTGTGTGTCGATGGGGACAAATGGGCATCCACACCACAACTACAATCTGAGAAAGGGCACCAAGTTAAATCATGGTAGTGATCACCCAGTATGAATTAGTATTAACAGCTATACTATACACATACTTTCCTGACTCCCCTTACGCCCCCACTTTCTTTTAGAGCTTTTCTTTTATTTATGTGGCTCTTGTATGTTATTTGAAGTTACTACGGCAACCTGTCACCATCTGGTGTTGTAAAGTATGATGAGATTTTGGTTGCTAGGTGCTGAAGTTTGCCATCTCTTTTTTATACAGCCCTATGATATTCTCCCCCAGTCTATTAGAACTGCATACACATTTAGTCATCTGTTCCAATGGTTTATCAAGCTGTGTTCACTTTCATCATTCCAATAATTTGTCATGCCTATTTATTTTATTATAAATTCAAACTGTTGGTATTGCTGATACTTTGCATACATTAAGGCCAGCCAGAGGTTTTTTCAACCATGTTTCAGAGTGTAATGAATCATATTATCATAATTTCTTTGCTGTCAGAGGATTTCAAATGGAAAGTATATCTCATTTTCTTTTGATGCCATGTTTCATCTTTTATATTGTACAAATAGATATAAACTGAGTAACGTCTACCTTGTAATTTCCCTGCAGTCTGGCAGTATTTCACCTTTCAAGCATTGTCAGCCAATTTAGTTAATGGGCATTGTATTCCTTGCAGTTTATAGCTTCAGTTGAGAGGATGGAGGCATCCTCCTGAATGTGATCATCAAATTTATGCCCATTGCCAATTGTATACATTGGGAATAGCATTGTGTCCTCCAAAAAGACTTCTTCCGCCTTACATGCTGCTAAATACTCCCTCGTCAGTCAAGTGTTTGCTGTGATTACACTTATTTTTACACATGTTTGACCTAGTTTCAATCATGCATATCAGCCTGGTGATTCATTAGACACATTTTTAACAAGGCTGAGCAATGTTAAAGCGACATGTCAAGATTCCACTTGAATAACTTCATCTGTCGGGCTGCTCTTTATTTATTTGTTTAATTTATGGGCATCGACATTCACGCTCCTGAATCTGAGGTGATTTAGAAATGAAAGACAACTCCATGGACGGGATTATTGGTTGATGTCTGTGTTTGCTGAAAGTCCCTCTATCCCCCACATACAAATATTTAAAGAAGACTGAAAAGTTGTCTGTAGCTGAGAGATTTGCTGAAATTTGTTCAGTAATTTTGTTTTGAGTCACATATTCTTCTACTTTCATTCACTTACTTGAATTGTGCAATGCTAAAGTTTGAGTTTTGATGGGAGTGGGGGTGGGAGGGGGATTGCAGAGCATATTTCAGAAATTTCCAGGTTACCTGTGTAAAACTGATATCACCTGGATTAAGTTGTTTGATTGGATGAAGGTAAAATATTAAGGGTGAATATCAGAGCCAAATTGGAGCTGGCTATTTATAATGTTCGCAAACTGACAAACAAAAGACTATAAAAGTTACAATACAACCCTGGGATGATGAAGTAAGACTTTTCAGCAGCAAACCTACAACTAAATTGTCTCACCTCAAACACCAATAATCAGTGACTCAAAATTAAGTAGAAAAGCCGTAATTTTAGTCTACCAAGAGAATAACTGTTTTCATGGAACAAAGCACATCACTTGTTAGTTCAGTGTTCCCATTTACAGTAGGTAAAGCTGTGCACAACTGCACACTTACAAGGCTAAATGCATGTAGAAAAACTGTAATCCACAACTAGCTGGATTTTAAGAGTTAGCTTTCACACAGAGATTAACATTTCTAAAATAGTTTTAATTCTTTCGAAGGGTACCCTCCCCAGACTATTAAAGATGCAGCTGATGCCACAAGGGTTTACTCAGAAAATGACAGGGAGAGACAGACACGTTTTGAAAAGCTTTCAACATCATTAAAGAACTCAAAATGTTATAAAAGCATCCTTGCGTATATTTCAGTTTTCACAAGCAATTATTCACCTTCCTCATCTCAGTTTATATTAACAATAAAATCAGGACATCGGAATAACAAAGCCGGCAGCAAAACAATTACAATTTCAGATTGTTTCAGCCAGGCAGCTGACTTTGTCTCCCACACAAGACCTGGTAAACCTTTGTCCTTTAAAATAAACTGCCACAACGGGAAAAGCAAAACTAAACATGAGCATTTTTAACTGAGAAGAGCATCAGTGACAAAAGCCACACAAATCCTTACCTGGAAGAGCTGGGTTTACCTGCTGGAAATATCTCCTTTTAAACTCCCACAGATAGCCAGAGCTCAGAGTAGCACAAAGGTTACTCCAATAACAGGAAGAAGTTATTATTCATGTTGTAAATTTCAGTGTTAATACGCCAGAAGTGTACTGGGTCTGCTCACGTAGGAATACATAAAAAAGCAGCACCATCTGAATAGAAGCTACTATATGAAAGTAAGAAAGACCTCTAGTGGCTGTAACCTGCAGTTAAAAAGGCTTCTGTTCTTGCTTTAAGTGGTAGCAAAATGGTTGGGTACGTCAAACTGCAGATAGTTTACAGTGATGTGTGACCTTGTTCTCTTTGCCATCATCAACAAATCATCCACCTTCTCCTACCTTGTTCTATATGTGAAGAATGCTCTGGCTTGAAGGACTGAGAATATATTGGAAGGATCAAAATCTGAGTCAATAATTATGATATGAATCCCATATGATTGGCAGATGCTCCTCTCGGGTGTGCATGTGTGTACACCGCAATGAGTCGCCCTTGGGCTGAGAATTGCGGTATATAAGTAAATAAATAAATAAATAAATAGGCACAAATGAATTATTTATTGCACTAATAATAAAGCTAATTATTAAAACAAAATTGAAATTCTATCAAAAAGGAAATCTCTCGTTAGTACTACTGTGTTCATGGGTAGTCGAAAGAAACATGACATTTCTTGTAATGCCCTCAGACAGTTTTAAATCCATTAATTAGAAAAGGAAGCACCATTGATTCCATTTTGGTCAATTTGCAAGTTAAACATGCTGAGGACTGTAGTTTAGAAAGACTTTAGAAGAAACAAACAGGGCTTAACTTGATGTCATTAACATTTCACATAGGACATGTGTTGAAATATAAACCATGGCCTATGACTGTTGAAAAAATGTCAGTACATGAGATGGTGTTCACCTGTATGATTGGGGACAGGAATTTTGGCTTCAAGGTATCTGGAAAAGACTCACAGACTTTTTACAGCTTTGGTGAGATTTGGCAGAAAGTCACTGGGCTCTTTGTGACATGTTTGGACATTGAGTTGGGTAAAATTATGGGGCGTCCTTCAATTTGATTTACAAATATATCTCTGTAGCAAAATATTATCAATTTTTCAAGAAATACCCTCATTTGAACTATAGAGGTCTTTGTAAATTACAGTTGATGAAGTACAATTGTGAGCAGTGCACTTCTTTCTTTGTTTGCCATCATATTCTGGACATTCATTTTCTTTTTACATTGGTCTTTTCAGATATTGTAGATACAGGCAGTTCCCAAGTTACGAACATGTGACTTACAAAAAGTCACAGTTAAGAACAGGGGTAAGACAACAGGAAGTGAAAGAAATCTACTCCTCGAAAGGGAAATTCACTCCTGGAAGAGTTATCATGGGGAAATTGTGTCTCCACTGAATCTTTATCATCAATCCTTGTTTCCATAACAAGCCATATTTTTCAAAATCCAATGATCACAGGGATAGAAAGTGTGGTGAAATACACTACAGGGGTGTTGTTAACCCTTCCATTTGCTATCCAAAGCCCATATATATGGAGTTCCACTTAAAATGTACCTGTTCCAACTTACAAAGAAATTTAACTTAAGAACAAACCTACAAAACTTACCTTGTTCGTAACTTGGGGACTGCCTGTATTTCTTGGCATCACATAATTTAAGAATGTTCTTTTGCCTCCTCATGTTACTCATCTGGGATATGGTTATCAATATTGTTATTTCTTTCTCTTATAGAGTCATTTTGTTGCTTGCATGACAGCAATCTTGAACCAAATGGATGACCAACATTACTCTTCCTACATTGAAACATTTCAGACAACATCAGAATTGGTGGTAAGTTATAATGGAAACAGGAGCTTATGCCACTTCCCTTGCTGGTTCCCTTGCTGCGAACCCCACCTCCTCCAAGATGAACTGAACCACCTCAACTGGGCTCTCCAGGCCAATGGATATTCCACCTCAGACATCAGAAGAGCTGCAAGACCAAGAACAAGCCACAAGAGTAAAGGAAGATCCACCCAGAGGAAAAGTGTTCCTGCCATACATCAAGGGAACCACTGACCGCATAGGGAAGCTGATGAGGAAACACAACATACAAACAATCTACAAACCCACCAAGAGAATCCAACAAATGCTATGTTCAGCAAAGGACAAGAGGGATCCTCTCACCTCTGCAGGAGTCTACCGTATACCATGCAGCTGTGGACAAGTCTACATAGGGACCACCAAACGCAGTGCCCAGACACGCATCAAGGAACATGAAAGGCACTGCAGACTACTTCAACCAGAGAAATAGCAGAGCACCTGATGAACCAACCTGGACACAGCATTTTATTTGAAAACACAGAAATGCTGGACCACTCTCACAACCACCATGTCAGACTACACAGAGAAGCCATTGAAATCCACAAGCATGTGGACAATTTCAACAGAAAGGAGGAAACCATGAAAATGAACAAAATCTGGCTACCAGTATTAAAAACTCAAAAATTACAACAGCAAAACAACAGAGAGAAAAACAGACAGGGACATCTAATCACCTTTCAAGAAGAGTTTGCTCCAGGCACTGTCAGCCCATTGTATGCTAATCAAGGTGGTCAGTGGAAAGATTCACACCCAGCCCAACTTACAAAGGCCCCTTTGTCTCACCCTGGCCATTCCACAGATATATAAACCCCCTTTTTTCCCATTTCCAGCAGACATCACCTCTGAGGATGCTTGCCATAGATGCAGGCGAAACGTCAGGAGAAATGCCTCTAGAACATGGCCATATAGCCCGAAAAAAACCCACAAGAACTGAGTGATTCCAGCCATGAAAGCCTTCGACAATACATTAAAATCTAGGCTAAAAACCACATACAAGTTATAAAGGAACAACATACAGGAAACAGAGTCCTTGACTAGGCAGAAAAAAATGCTGATACACCACTGGATTCCTCCAAAAAATCACATAGTCCTCAAGGAAACTTCATTCCATCTCAGAAAGCTTTTTGGTGTCCAAACTGAAAACTATATTTTCATTTTCTTTTCTCATCCATGTGCCCCCAAAGAACACTGGTCTCACATCTCACTTTACAGGAAAAATTGCCCACTTAGATGATGGGGAAAAGATATCTTACCTAATTATCTCCCAGTGCAGGTATAGCAGCTGATTATCTCTGTTGATACTTCCCTTCATCTGCTTCTTCGATTGCAAATTCTGTCCTTCGAGTAGGATACTCGGGTTTTGCAATTGCAACACATTATGTAGATTAAGAAAAATCCATTTAAATTTTAAATATGATTTTGATTAATATAATTTATTCTGGGAAGGAAATTCAGGATTTGCTTGTATAGCATGATTACCAATGTCTTCTGACTCTCATCCCATTGTCCTAATCAGGTTGTAAAATCCTAAATACAGTCTTCATCTTTACAGAGTTGTCATTGGTACACATATCTCTGCATGTTTCAAACCTATCTCTCCCATGTCTAACCTGTCATTATTATGCTACTGCCAGCACTATTTAGCATCTGTCTGGATTTAAATGTTATTGTCTACTGGATAAAGAGTTGTCCTAGGAAATCTTGTCCAGATGCTACCAATCAACATCTGGTCCTAATGTCTTCTTCTTTCATTAGGTGAAATATGCATGTTAAACATGTATTTTAGACCTTTCACTCCCTGAGGTGTAATCTTCTTGAACTCTGCTGGACATACCTTAGGTTTCTTTAGAGATGGCTGTGTAAATCATGTTTTAAACACACTGACAGGCACTGTTGCCCCCATGCATTTTTTCCATGATGGTCCCCCCACCTCTCCAGTTCAAGCCCGAAAAAACCCACAAGAACTGAGTAATTCAGGATTATTTGAGTTGAAGTTGATTGCTAAGTCTTGACAACTCTAGGTTAACTGAGAGAAACATTTTCGGTTATTAAACCATCTTTTTTAATTAGTTCATATCCATTGAGCTAACCCCATTGCTAATCCCAACCAAAGAGTATCCATTAAAATCTACGGGATTTATGTAAATAGTGATGACCAAATCATATTCATTTTAATGGGACTACTGAAATTGGAGCTAACATTGGATTCAACTCATATATTCATCAAAATAACAGTTTTTTTTAAATAGCTTTGCTGAATCTTAGCACTAGCAGTGATCTGTTAATTGTTGTATTTCAGTGCTGGGCAGCTATATAATTTTACTGTATCTTTAAGACAAGAGTACGATGCCTATAGTAACCTTCCTCTTCCACAGTGGGACATTTTAGTTCTTCAGAATCACATTTTATTGCAGAATCCATAAGTCCCTGATGTTGCCATTCTACAGCTTTGTCACCTGAACAACTATAAACAATTTATCCAGTGTTCAACCACTTGCCATGCAGCTAGAAATAAAAACAGAACAAAACAAAACATCCAGCAAGAACACAAAAAAGTTTTTTAAACAAATCTATGGAATTTTTTTTGCTATTGTGCTTATGTCCTGACAAATGTTAACATATTGGAGTGTCCCATGATAGTTTTTGGTGAGCTGTGATACAGTGGATTAGAACTAATCTGCGCCAGGTGTCCCTTTTGTGAGGAAAAACTGAAATTTCTTCCTTTTGGGGGATCGTGTATCACAACAGCCAATCTAGAACAATTGCACACCAGACAAATGAAGCACTGCCAAAAGATGTTAACCCATCCTTTAATTAAAGACCACCAATGAAGGAAAGTTCATCAATCCCCAAAGCAAGCTGTTTTACTGATGTACAGGACTTGTCATCAGTAAGGTCTTCCTCATGTTTAGATGGAATGTTTTTTTAATATTCAAAGTATTTCAAAATACATGAAGTATATATTTTCCCTGCCTTAGTTAAGTGTTAATCCACAATTTGCACAATATCAGATGGGCTATTTATTGATTAATTGTTGTGATGAGATTTAAACATTAGAAATTTGTAATTCCCTTCTGTTGGAGCAACTTTTTTTGTTTTGTTTTTGAGACATATGTTGCTGTTTCACTTTAATAACGTTGTTCCGTGTTTTCGAGTCATTTCCACCTTTGGGTACCCATGGGTGACCCTATCATTAAGGTTTATTTAAGTTTCAAATTGTATATTGTGTTGTATTTAAGTACTATTTTCATCACTTTAAAATGGTATCTTCTTCTTCTTCTTCTTCTTCTTCTTATTATTATTATTATTATTATTATCTCCCTTCACTTTCATATGACATCCATGTTTGCTTTAATATGAAGCATGCAAATTCATTCTGATATATATTTTCTCCAAGGACTTTTTGATGGAGACCTTTATAATGTTTAAAGACCTTATTGGAAAGAATGTCTACCCATTGGACTGGATGGCCAT